GGCGCTGCAGCCCGCGCTGTGCCTTGCTGCGTCCCATGGCTGCGCCCTTTGTGTCCCGTCCTGTGTGGTGCCACCGAGCGCGGCCAGCTTCACACCGACACCCCGCGCTGCTCCCCCCCCCTCCGCACAGCTCCGGCTCCGTGTCCCGTCTCCCTGATGTCCCCTGGCGCCGCTCTCTCTCTCCGGACCGGGATCCACCAGTTCTTCTCCCGGAGGTGGACGGGAGCTTCGTGCTGCCACTGCCTGCCCCCGTGGGGCTGTGAGACATGCTGGGGCCGTGTTCTTTTCTCCCTAAGGTGGGACGACCGTCCGCAAGGAGATCATCAGGAACAAGATCCGAGCCATTGGCAAGATGGCGCGCGTCTTCTCCGTCCTGCGGTAAGGACGCGGCCCGGTGCCGCCTGGCTGCTGCTCGGGAGCCGGGCAGAGGCAGCTGCTGCTTCCCTGCTGGGGGTGGGCTGCCCTCACACCTTGGGCTGCGCTTTGGGGGCAGGGGCGCGCTGGGAGCCCGCACTCCATCCGTCCCACACACATCACCTGCTGACGCTGCATCGCCTTCCTTTGCAGAGAGGAGAGCGAGAGCGTGCTGACGTTGAAGGGCCTGACCCCCACAGGCACACTGCCCCTGGGTGTGCTGTCCGGGGGGAGGCAGACCCTGCAGACCGGTGAGTCCCACGCCGTGCCCCCATGGCGGCTCTGGCTCTGCCCCACTCCGTCGGCTGCGAGCAGGAGCTGGGGGTCGGGGGGTGGAGGGGGGAGGGCAGGATTTGCGGCGCCGGTCGGGGTGCGGAGGCCGCCTGGGAGCCGCAGGCAGTGCTGAGCTCACGGCCCGGGCGCCGTTCTGTGTCTCTGAGCCCAGCTCCATTCGTTCTGCTGTGAGCTCTGTGCCGCAGCCACGATGCGCTGCCACTGCCCGGCTGGGCCCCCGCAGAGACCCTGCAGGAGGTGCAGCGCAGGAGGGGCTGCTGCTCCACACCTGGGTGCGCCGAGACCCCGCTGGGCTCAGAACGGCTGTGGGGGGGGGGGGGGGGGTTCCCTTTGCAGACCTTTGCCACCCTTGCAGCCCCCAGCCCCACACTGAGCCACCGAACGCAGAGCCACGATGCTCCGCGCTGCTCCTCTGTGCTGCGTCCAAAGCCAAAAGTGCCACTTTTTGGGGATGGGGGCTTGGAGGGCTGAGCTGCGCCGCGCTGCCTGGCTGCGCTCCCGTGGGTGCAGCTGGGTGCGTCGGGAGCTCCGGCCCCTCCTTGGAGGTTGGGCTTCCGTTCTCTGCTCCCTCCTGTGCTCCGGGCTCCGGGGCTCCCGCTCTGCTCTGTCCCCTCCTCTCCGTGGGCTCGGCGCTGATGTTGGATCACTCACTGCTGCTCTTCTTGTTTTTCTGTCTCCGTTTCTGCATGCCACTCTTCTTCTGTATCGCAGCCACAGTAGAAGCGGTAGAGGCACGGGAAGGTACGGCCCGAGAGACCCGAACTGTGTGTGTGTGCATCTCAGAGAGCTTCCCTGCCTCCCTCGGCTCTGGCTTCACCAGGAGGTGCCAAATGCCCAGGCTTTGGCTCTGTAATGAACTCTGAGCCTCGCAGCTCAGCGCCGCCAACCCCAAATCCCCCTCAGGGCCCTGCAGTGCCCAAGGGCCGGGGGGCAGAGCGGGCTGCACGTCGCTCACAGCATCGCTGCTCCCTGCAGGAGGGCCGGCTGCTCCTCGAGGAGCCCTGTTCTCCCCTTACAAACAACGTCCTGATGGAGGACAGCAGCTCCCTGCGCAGGGGGGACCTTCCATGCAGGTTGCTGGAAGCTGATTGCAAACCAGCCCAATCCTTGCTGCAATGTTTGGCGCAGCGCCTCTTTTTTTTGCCCCATTGGTGCCTGGGGGCAGCATTTACTTCCAGGTGGGGTTTCCCCGTGGGCTGCGCCTCCTGCTGGGGCCAGAAGCGCTGTGTGTTTGCTGGGTTGGCTGCCGCGGGCCGCGCTGGGCTCTGAGCGCTGCGGCTGTGTTGCTTTGCTGCCGTGGGGTTTGGTTGGCACCCAAAGCTGCCGGGATGCGCTGTGAGCAGGGGGGGGTGAGCAGGGATGTGGGCTGCACTGATCCCCCCCCCCCCTTCTGCCCCCAGACCTTTGGGTTCCTGTCCCTCAACAGCACAGCACAGCAGAGCCCTTCTGCCTGCATCCCCAGCCCGACTCATCCAGCATCTCTGCGCCCTCAGCGTTTGTGGCCGGCGCTGAGCTGAGCGCTGCAGCCGAGGCGTTGGAGGGCAGGGGGGCCATGCAGGGGGCCCTGGGCGGGCTGCAGAAGTTGGGCCCACCAGAACCTCATGGGGTTCAGCACAGTGTTGGGTCGGGGCGATCCAACCCCATGTGTATTGACACAGGCTGGGGAGGAGCTCCTTGAGAGCAGCCCTGCGCACAGGGGCTCAGGGCTCCTGGGGGGCGAGAAGCCGGACGTGAGCAGAGGGCTGGAGCTGCTCAGCGTGAGGAAAGGCTGGGGGAACTGGGCTTGTTGAGCTTGGAGAAGGGAAGGCTGCAGGGAGACCTGGTGGTGGCATCCAGGAGCGGATAAACAGGAGGGGAACGGGCGGGTGGTGATGGGACAAGGGGAATGGTTTTAAAGTGAGACGGGGAGGTTTAGGATGGAAGTGAGGAGGAGGTTTTTCCCCCAGAGGGCGGTGAGGCACTGGCTGCCCAAGGAGGCTGTGGATGCCCCATCCCTGCAGGCATTCAGGGCCAGGCTGGATGTGGCTGTGGGCAGCCTGGGCTGCTGGTTGGCGACCTGCACACAGCAGGGGGGTCAGAACCGGCTGAGCACTGCGGTCCTTTTCTAAGCCATTCTATGACCCCCTGCCCTCTCTTTCCCCCCCCTGCAGCCATCCGGGGCTTCTCCCCGCAGCACAAGATCCGCAGCTTCGAGGAGGCTCGGGGTCTGGACCGCATCAACGAGCGCATGCCGCCGCGCCGGGACTCGCTGCACGCCGACGGGGCGCTGCACCTCCACCCCAGCCCCAGCCCTGCCGACAAGAACAACGGCAAGAAGAGCCCCTAACGGCGCCTGGCAGCGGCCCATGGATTTTATTTATTTATTGATATTTGGGATGGGGGGGGGGGGGGGGGGGGGGGGAGGTTGGGGGGAGCCTCTTTCAGCCGCAGGCACCGCCGCGCTCCCGTCCGCATGTCGCCAGGTGCCCGTCCTGTTTCTTTGGGTTCTAATTTATGTTCCATATATATATATATGTACATACACACACACACACACACACACACACACATATATATATATATATCAAATAGCCCCTTTTTTCGGAGGTTCAGAAGCCGGTCCCGGTGCAGAGCGCTGCTGCAGGCGCTGCGCTGCTCCCTGGCAGCCCCCAGCCTGGCCCTGCTGGGCCTCCTGCTGCTCTGTGCTCCCCCCGTCCTTCAGCCCTGCTGAACGCAGCCCTCGGATCCCAAAGCAGGGGGAAAGCAGCGCGCCCGGCCCCCCCCCCCTCCATCTGCATCTCCCTGGGCTCCTTTTGGATCCCCCCATCCCACCTCCAGCTCTTTGGGACCCTTTGGGTCCTCTGCTCCACCTGCACCCCTCTGTGGCTCC